TGTGTTTGTATAATAGGAGCATTGCAACGAATTAGTACTGAAACTACTGTGAATCATTTGAGCATATTTTGATATCATTTGAACGGTTAGCAGCAATTTTCCCCAAAATTTTGTATCATTTTATTAATCAAGCTGCAATCCAAAAATTTATCTATGGAACAGTTATTCATATAATATTATATTGATTTTTCTCATCTGTTTTCACTGTATTCTATTCGGCCACCACCACTATACTGTATAACAACAAATGATCTAGAATTCTTATTGCTGTAATTTCCCAACTTGATTCCTTTCATTTTGAACATTCTTTTTGGAGAATCCTCGTCCTTTAGTTGGCGCGATAGCGCACTACTTTCCGAATAATTTTTCTCAGTCCTTCCATCTGTTTAAAAATTCTGTAGGACAACCTCCACTCGTTCTTGTACAAGATAGTGCTTTATCCTCCCGCTCAATTGAAGCATCTGGAATAAATCTCTTGTTCGTGTCGGATTGCGGCTTCAATGAAGCGAAGCTCAGGGGGAAGGTCAAACAAGCCTAAGCTTTGATCCCAGTCACTTCCTGTTCTAACCACGAGCCCCTGTTGAATTTCGAATTATTATTTGAGAAATGTGAACTCTCCTGATTTTAATTTACTTTATGATAGAATCATTTGATTTCTTGCAGCGTTTCAGTCTATGTTGTTTGGGTATCCGATACTCAGCTATAAAATTGGGTTTCTCCATTGTCATCAACGAAACGAATAAATCTAATTTCTCACAATTCTGATTTAAATTGCATCTCGGTTTTCTTTAAATATTAAAACAAAATTCTCCTATTTGTTGCGGTCGTTGCCTGTTTACTCCAAACTAAGTGAGCTGGTGCTATCTTATTTGGATGCCGTTAATTGATGCTTTCAAATGTATCAAAGTTAGCAATTAATGCAGCAATAGTTAACTAAACAATTTTTAAATTCTCGGCAAAAAAATTGCTGCCGATCTAATTCGCCAATCAAAAAGGAACCTAATTAAGTCATTTGTGATTTATGTCCATTTACGTTACTATTTTGGGAATTGAGCTGTAAATAAATCACCCTATTACACAGTTGAGTTCCCTTTTATTGCCGTTTCGAATGACCTTACCCTGATACGCAACGTTCACACTTTAATAAAAATGTTCATCGTAAAAAGAAGCATCATAGCACATGGCTCATACAGTGTCAGATGCTGATGGCTGCCATCCTTAATTCATATAGCGATGCCTTCTATGAACACGGGTGCTGGAGGTAGATGGAGAGGCAGGGCGGTTGAGAGTTTAGTGATGGTGATAGGTGAAGTAATTAGGCGAGTATTTTGTCACTAATACATATTAAACGGCCTCAATTTCGTTAAATTGCTATGACTGCTAATCTCCGAGTTACTTCTAATAGAAGTATTTTCGCACTCCCGATGTCTCGTTATTACCGATAATAAATGAGAGCGTCATTTCGAAATGAACGTCACTCAATAGTATCTCCAAGTTTAACAAACTGAATCGTAATTTTCGATTACGAGCTTTTTGTGACGTTTCAAGTAAACATTCATTCATGTTTATATCTATCGAAAATCATATTTAGCAAAGATCGATTGTGTTCATCAATAGCTAAGCTGCTTTGAAAACGTATCATTCGCAGACACTTTCTATTTCTTCCATCTGATGTATTGCATTGCTATTATAAAAAGAAAGAAAACTTTTCACATTTGTTAGGCCTGTTCGATAAGCCCTTTGAGGTCATCACTATTCAATTTGTTTGCGCGATTGAACTATGCTAACGAGCCTTCTAACAAACTAATATCTCGCTCCAGAATTGACGAAAAGCACAACAACAAAGCCAATATTTGTCTTTTTAATTTTTTTTTCTATTGGACTCTTCGCCCAAAGCTTTTGATGCTTCTTTCCCAACAATTTTTATCCGCAATCTAATTTTGGTCTCGGTATCTCGCGCTTGAAAAACTCCGATGAATGGCCAACTTATCAAGGAAAAATTAACCATTGTTACGAAATATTAAGAAAATTTCTTCTAGATTATTAGATTATTACATTTAGGCGTGAAATTATTTTTGATTGTAAATATTCTTCTTCTTCGTCAACGTAAAGAATTGAAGATATCTCAATTGATGATGTCCCTTGTTTTTTATTGACTAAGCCCCGTATTTATGTTATGTGATTCATTCGACTTTCTAGACATTTTCTAGAAACTATTAAACAACTAATGAGCTTCAAATATGAGACTTGTTCATTAGTGAAATGCAGCCTTTTCTTGATTTTAGATCTAAAATTCTCAAATGTGTTTTGTTCTTTGTTGTGTTTGTTGTAGACTATCAATTTTCAACTACCGCTTTAAATTTAACTAACATAATTTAGCTTCTATAATTGTTGACTGGCTTCTTAGGATAACGATTTCTCCTATGTGTTTAGTTTCACGATTTATCAATTTTCATTAAATCTCATTTATTACTATGTTCTATCACTTGCATCGAATGTTAAGTCAAAGGACTATGAATTCGGTGAATGGTTGTGCAATTCAGCATGGTACAAAATGCATATTACTTCATTTACAACGCTTACGTGCATATTTATCCTAGAGACGGTGTACATTTTTTCCGATAGCCATCCATTACAGAATAAAAAAGTTAAAAAGTATTTAACTCCTTGGAGGTAATTTACCACAGCATTGAAACCACCACAATATGGTAATAGAATAGAAGTATCGGCATTGAAGAAATAGGCCCATGGCCTGTTGCCGATTCTTGAACTTTTCGTGACTGGATTCACAAGGGATCCGGCCTTTGGAACCCGATCTTTCCATAACTGACGATTGTAAATAGGTTGCTGCGAGTACCTGCTATATATACACCTTCGCTCACTGTTCTGTTAAGGATCATACAAGCCGTCTCAGAACGGCTCTCTTAAGGCCCTGACTGAAAGCCGTGCGAAGTCTAAGAGCGAGGTTTTCGCGACCATCGTGTAAAATCCTTGATCTGCCCAAAGCTCGGCCAGTCGCTACCCTCGAGCTTGTACTCTTTGTAATATGATATCCTAGCCAGACCCTTTCTCGCGGTCACTGGTCGCTTTCAGGTGGCCGAGGAAGGCCAACGGTCGGCTATAACTAATTGGACTAGGCCGACCACTGGCCACGTATTATTCTTCGCCCCTCATTGACTTCGCCTTTACCATGCCACCTGTCGTGAACTGACAGTTCAGTAATTTACGACGTCTCTTTCCCCTCATGTATTCCACAACGCCTCCATTTGAGCAGCTAGTATGCGGGATTTTCCCTCCGCGCATCAGCAGGCTCGATCATAACTATTTTTCGGTCGAAAATATCTACAACAAAGAGGCTGATCAAGGAATGCCGAGTATACCATTCAATGGAGAATAAAAATTACAACCCTTTTATATCTCGAAAAAAGTAAAAAAGTCGCAGACTTGATGAACAATAATATTCAAAGTTGCTTGAAATTTCCTCTCATTAAAACTGTTTTAATACAAAGTTTACATATTTTTTGTTACTGATCACCGTTTATAAATAAATAGATGGGTAAGCATGGAAAAATCCATATCGCCATCTCATTTGCGAGTGGAGTAAAGTCTATCCTAATTAGTGAAGAAACGCATAGGGAAGAGCCAAGCCTGTTAGAAGCCATGCGACCTTCAACCAGGGCCTTAAGACCGGTGGCGGTGTCACCTCATGACCAAGTCTTGGCAAGCTGCTAGCCAAGGGATCTTCATCGCACTACTAAGAGCTTACTAGATATTGTCGACGCCTTGCCGCTGGCCATTAAATTGTTCGTGGGTAACCGATTAATTTATCAACCCATGATTAATTTTTATGGGCTTGATTGCCTTAAATTGTAATGCTGTGTGATGAGTGTATATTGTTTAATATTGCTGTAAAACAGTGTATTATAAGTACTAATTTCCAATACTGCCGTCGGAATGACGTCGCGAAACTTCTACATCCGGGTTTCTGAACACCGCGGCAAGAGCTATCGTCCGAATTTACTTCTCGGCAAGCCTCCTCATTCTTCCGTGCGCCTCCATGCTGAACAGTGCGACGTGGCTGTATCGGAGAGTGATTTCATAATACTCGGTTCCACCTCTGGCTGCTCGGACTTGAGGATTCTGGAATAACAACATATCTTCAAACAAAACCCGTGTCTCAATAATGCACACGGTTCTTATCCTCTTAGTGAATCGCTAGGCTTTTATTTTCTAGCGTTTAATTTTTGGTTTTAATGTCTGATTTTGGAGTTTGAATTACATATAATAAATGTTTTCATTCTTTATGGATTTTCGAACTGACGATGGAGCTGGACTCCGAAACGTTTTCAACGTTTCATATATGGTCATATTTACTTGGCGTTCTCTTTGCTTTTTAAAGTGCAGTATATTATAGTATGGCTACTATTTTACCAGCGGGAATTCGACAGGGTCCCTTCCGTATTCAGCTCTCCTGTGCGTCGAACAATCGTCAGTAAACAAACATAAATAGGGCTGAGCATCATCTTGCCGTGCTCGGTTAGAGTCTGTCACAGGGCTCTTAAAAACAAGCCATATATGATTATAATTATAAAACTATTATTTGTATTAAATTAAGGAAATCAGGCCGCAATTGAATGTTTAACAAAAATTTTTCTTACAGGAAAAGTAAGGGTAAGGCCTGTTAAGTCAAGCACGGGTCAGCATTTATTGATGATCGGATTTAACGAAGCTTTACCCTCGTAGAAATATCAAAATGCGACATCTGAGGCGTATTAGGCGTATCATAATAAAGATAAATCAATTTTTATTATTAGAACTAGTGCCGAAACATTATTTCTTCAATCTTTAACGTCCTCGTATAGTTGCAGCAACATGCAGAAAATGACTTTAGAATTAATCACTACATAATTGAGTGTTTACTCTCGTGGCTCTGCGCCCATATGCTAAGTGTGACTATGCTATTAACCACTAATTAATTACCTATCTTTCTCCCGCGGCAGGCGTATCAATATGCGGAGTGTGATGCACGACAGGATGGTGTTGGCTGCAGGAGCCCTCTCGACGCTGCTGCTCTTGCTCCATCCTACCTTCTGCGCCGCTGATGAGTGAGTCTTGCCTTCTACCCAGGCGCACGTTCCCTCTACATATGTAACTCTGAGGCGGCCCTCTGCTGGCTCTGACTATACACATGCTTTAGGATTTTGTTCAGAGTTCGTGCGATTGAACTAAGTTATTTTGTATAATGTTATTTGATCAATGAACTAAGCAAATTTTAAGTGCGCATTCAGAACGCTGATGAGTGAGTCTTACCGTCTTCCCAGGCGCCCATCTTGTAACTCTGTAATAAAGTAATTACCTTGAAGCTTTCACATCTGAAATCCTGAATAACATTAGTAGCACTTCCACAATAACATTTTATTTCCATTATTGTGGCCCTAATTATTGAGGTTTCCATCTATGTAACTCTGAGGCAGCCCTCTGCTGGCCCTGACTCTGTATCTGCTTTAGGATTTTGTTCAGAGTTCGTGCGATTGAACTAAGTTATTTCTGTAGAATATTATTTGAGAAATGAACTAAGGAAATTTCAAGTGCGCGTTAAGAAATTTCATGTCTATGTAGCGGTAGCGGTTATTGCAGTAATCCAAGAGACTCGCTGTGACTCTAAGACTTAAGTCTTGTAGAACGCTCTTATGAATAGTTGATTTACCTGTAAATGATTCTTTTAATGTTTCTATTTCCCTGTATTTTATCAAATTTCTTGCTTAACAAAACCTAAGGCGAAGTTTGAACTGGCATGATACATATTTACGCAATGAAGAGTTGGTCATTGTCATCTTTAGTTGTTACGCCGCAAAATCTTAGTGACATTCATATTTTATTCTATTTACTCTAACTAATTACTAATAAGAAACCACCACAAAACTCAAGAACCAATTTTTTTACATTAAAAAATTAAATTTAGTGTTTTTTTGGATGTATTTCGTTCATCTTGATATTTGCTAGAATCTTTCATGCTTCATGTTTCAACAAGGTTGAACTTTAGTTATATTTTAAAGTTTTTCTAATAAGTTCTATTAGATTCTAAATTCTATTTTTCTCGTTGTGTTACATATTAATCGAAAACTCTACCTAACCAGAACCGGATAACAAAATCTTGGGAATACTTTTGACAAGTCTTATTTAAATTAAAAGCCAGGTTCTATCTACTTAAAGCATACTATCTTACGTGATAGTTGTTTCCCAATGCCATCAATAGTACACACGATTCAAAGTGAGCTCTAATTCGTAATTTTGGTTGCCGAAATAACTTGGTCTTCCGTCAATTCATTGCCCGCACATCTTCATATGTGAGCCAAAATGTTCTGCATTTGTTTTCACGAAGAACAGCAGTAATCCTCCCTGCGAGCAATTTAATCAAGGCTTTCCTGATTATTTCCTGACGTTCAGTCAAATATTGTTATTTAAACAAATATTTCAGTCAGGGCAACCAGTTTCTTGCAGGTTTCTATTCTAATCAAGAGCTCCTTGCATCCCAGTTCTAGTGAGCAAAAAATTTTCATTTGACCCTAACCCAACATCGCGAGCGCCAAAAGATTACACAAGCCTCGAAAAGTTTTACATGAGGCACCTCTCGTTAAAAAATTTTTTCGGCATGGTGTTTTTCTGTGAACCTCTTATTCCTTGGGTTTATGAGTACTTAATGAGAAATGTCCCTGAAATTTTAGACTAGTAGCGTAATGCTGATATAAGAATTAGAAGCATAATGATAACACTGGTAGCATGATTTTCACACTATGCGAATGCCGAACCTTGCGTTGCGTGTCTGTAATATTCAGTGCGAAGTTCTTCGTTTTTAGTTATAAAAAGCAAAAATTTGCACACAGGCTCGAAGTCAACAAAAAAAGCTTCATTTCATCGATAGAGTTGCCACCGAGCTGTTCTAAGTCAATTGCTGTAAAATCATTGGGACCTAGGCTAAAGACAAAAATGTAAACGAATATACCGGTTGCCATGTTGAATCTTCAGTAATTTCATTTTAAGAAAATTCTTATCTGAAGTGTTGAACTCAGAAATGAATCAGGACATGAACTTCTTTTAATCAGGCAGTTAAATATTTTAAATCCACCAAGTTTTTACTTTGTCAACAATTAATTTATAATTTTTACCATGTGCCTCAAAACATTCCTTATATAAATCTATCCTCAGATAAATGCATACAGTACCAACTTCGCGAACTCCGAAACTCTGATTAGCTTCGTGCACTGAAAAATAACTCAATTTATTAGATTTTTTTTACTTCGACTCTGATTATGGGTCGGCTGAAAAGCCATGTGCGTACCAAGCTAGCTATGAAGCTTCATTAATCTCATTGGATTTTTAGCTCGGCTTGCAAGACGCTTCATTAGCTTACGCGCCCCACACCGTTCAGCAGCTGCGTCGCTGTTGCTATGGCAACCGTTTCAAGTTTTGGATCTCATCGATGAAAAATTCCATGCCATCATCTTCCTAATTTTGTTGATGGTTTTACCAGTTTTGAACACAGTGACATGGAAAATTTTCATGCAAACACCTGACCAATTTTGTTGATGCTTTTAGAAAGTGACTTAAAAAAATTGCCAGCCAAAATGCGATGAGAGAAAGTTGGGACGACACTAAAATTTTTCAGCTGGAATTGTGTGCATTAAAATTGAGAATATTGTGCGGGAAACTGCGTAAGGAAGGTCGTTTTCAATGTCTAAGGATGAGAAAAAATATTTTCTCACAAAACCACGGATTGCCATCAGGTTAATGAATCAATGAACCTCACGAGCAAGACATCCAATGTGTGAAAGAGAATCGACACGATGTATTTTTGAACGGCTATCCTGCAATGGATGTGTTGACATTTTTCTAACAATGTTTTATACTAAAAACGCATCTTAGTTACATTGGCATTACACCACTGTTATTTGTCAAAAATTTACAGTAATTATATTTACTTTATCAATTGTATTTTTGAGTATGCCTTACTTTTTTCTCCCACAAAACATTTTGCATTTTTCACTGGAATGGAAGTTACTTCTTAGAAAAAATATTTTCTGTTATTCACAAAACATCTCACATTTAGCACATTTGGCACAAATAACTATATTTACACTATTATATGATATACACTCCACAAAATTAAGCTTGTATATAATGTACCGTAGTAAGTTAAACTGGATTTTACGAACAGAACCATTCTAGTTTATCCCCCAAGTCCAAGAAAATACCCACCGAATTTATTTATTCATTCACAGTTCTCTTTATTTATTATAAATCTGTATTATAAATCTGTATAAACTTGTTCATTGGGGAGGATAAAATGCACCACTAAATTGCGCAGTAATTCAAGTTTATTCTTTTGCACTTACTAAAATATGGTGTCTGATAGATGATATATATACTTGCTTTGTATTTAAATCAGTAAATTTAGGGATTAACTGGATTATCTCAAAACGGATCAAAGTTCTTTTTAATCTCAAAACGGATCAAAGTTCCTTAAGTTTGGCAAACGCTACCTAAAGCTGCCTAATTTAGCGTACGAAAATATCTACTATTTCTAAATCGAATTATATGAGGCCATAAATTTTAATTTTAATTGAGACAGTAATAAAGATTTGTTGGTCTTGAAGTTACACTGAAAAATATATCGAGAATTTCTTACCAGGTACATGTTTTTTTAACGTTTTTTCCTATAATATTAAACTTTGATAAGGAATTTCAAGTTGGTTTTCATTTAGTAATTAAACGATGTTAGTCTGATTCACTTCCTCTTGAGTTGAATGTGTATTTGCCTGCTATACCATTTTTGCAAGAAGCACTAGTATTTTGCATAATTTCATGGCGGGAGTAGAGACACTTGCCTTATTAAACTCATCTGCTATTTCTTTCTTTTTTCAGGCCAAGAGATATCGTGTAAGTATAGCCTTCTTTTCCTTGAGCATGACTTCAGAATTTTTTTCACTGCGTATCTGCTTACTGTTCGTTTTTTCGTTCTTCGTTCCGCCTCATCAATATTGTTTAAAATTTCTTTCCCCGATTTTCTTTTCATTACCAAAAGTATTTTTAACGCAATCTATTTCCTATCAATTTGCTCTTTCGACTTCAGCCATCCGCCAGCGGTTGCTGCTTTTTTGAAGTACAACAATTACGATCAAAATTTTGTGTCAATAATATAGTAATTGATTAACAATTGGGTTTATTTCAAATTTTTTGCAGGTTTTGGCAGCAGAGATACCTCAATTAAAATTTGATTCTTAGGCGACTGACCAAAAAAATTCAAATGTCATAAATTTCATCTTCATCAAATAACAAAAATATACTTTGAATTGAATCAGGCCTTGCATCTTTCATTTCATATCAGGGTTCTACATATTCAACAATATACTCAACAACTGCAAGTTTCATACCAGAGTTATACTATGAAAGAATTGCAAGTTGAGAAAAATCTTCTATTTACACCTACAACAATTGTTATTCTTCATCAACTAACATCCCGGTATCATAAATTATAAAGTAAATAATTTTCTGCAACTCATTCAAAATTGTATTTACACGCATCTTTTTCTCGTATTTCCATGTATTTTGTGTAGCTCTCAAGCCTGCTTCTCGTACCATGGTTCAGAATTGACTGTGAAGTGTACACTAAAAGTGAGAGAAGATCTGAAATAGGAGCTGCTGTTTGTAAGAGTGAACTATCAGCTGAAAATATCAATATCAAATTCTTCATTTATTTGGTGTTGTTCGTCCTCCTAAAGTCTCAAATTTAAATCTTTTAATTTCATTTGTATTTTATTTTAACCTGTGAAAAAACTAGTACGTTCGTTGGGCTTGTTTCTGAATTTAAAAGAGAAGTACTTTTTTTCGCTTTTAGTATCTTGAATAAATGGCTCAATATCTTTGCAAGGTCATTTTAATGTCATTTACATTTCAAATTTGCCAATCGGATGAAAATGGATGAAGTGATACTTTTTGTTTCATTGTTCCGGCACAAGAAACTTGTTCCAAAAATTCTATGGAACAAAAATTCTTTAAGTTATATGGCAAAATTGATGCAAACTTAGTTGACTTAAATAGACTTAAGTTTAATCTTTTTACATGCGATTTTTATTTATTATCAGTAATATATACCCTGTCGAATTTGACGTAAAAATTTATGCTTTTTTTACCGAAATGACATTAACTTATGCCTACTTTGTTAAAAAAATCTAACATTTTTAAACCATACCTCTCTGTGCACCTGATTTTACTATGTCAAACAATTCCTTACTCATTTCGTTGAAGTTGAATTCGCCACTTATTAACTAAACAAAAATTTTTAATCATGTAGTTCTGTTATATATGAATATATATGAATTATACATGTTTTTAATGTAGTATATATAGGATTAAAAATACGAGTTCACCTCTCTTCGTGACATTCATAACTGTAATAAAAACACGTAGTATCAAATGAATTTGAACTTTAACATTATAAAATATAAAAATTTCTCCATATAATCTGGCAAACAGATTTCTCGGCCACTTTTAGAATTGCGACTGCCGATAAGAGTGAGTGAGTGCCCGTTTGCAAGTTCCACTTCCTGTTGAAGGAAGAACGACGGTCTAACATAACTTGGTTAGGTTTTTTATGAAGCCACTTGCGACCAAAAAATTTTTCCTCCGCTTTTTTACTTAGTGGATTTTTTTTACTCTACCCTGAATTTTATTTCTATTTTACGTGTTCACTGAAAGTTATTTTTATTATATTATTAACATCGTAATTTATACGTTTACAAATTAACCGAGCTAATATAATTAGTGTTCAGATTCACATAAGACAGTCATGATCAACTTCAAATCTCAAACATTGCTGCAGGTTCTCTCTTAAATTTATGTCATCCTTTAAGTGTGCATGTCTGTTTCATGGTCTTCAAATAAACTTTCCAATGTATGGTCCAGCCTTTCTGCGTTTTAACCCTTGATGTTCTGCTGATCGATGCTTCCATCCCATAAAAAATTTCTTGAGCGTTCGCTTTCATCAACGCTTTGTCTGATTTTCCTAATCGTATTCTGTATTCCTTCTTCCTTTGCTGCGATCTTGCTAAATTTCTGAAAATATTATAAGCGGTTTCGCTCTTTTTATGTTTAATTTTATCCATTTTCCGCCTCTTCTATCAATAACTTTTTTTCGTTCTATTTTTAGCTTTGAAATTGTAATTTGAGTGCAGAAACTTTGTTTTAGGTCAACTGTGGACGCAACGATTTTCGAGCAATTCTTTTATGGATGTATTTTTTCCTTGAATTACAGGTTCCGATCAGAAAAAAAAGTTTGAAATATATTTTTTATGTTTCAGAGTTTGAAATATATTTTGTATGTCTTTGCTTGCTTGTCGCAGTTTATTATTTATGTATATTGGGGCAGATTCCTGTTCTATTTCCGGGGTAGTTTGGCCTCAAAATAATCACGTCACTTTGATTATGAACCTACTCTATTTTTCTGATTCTTTGTAACACGGACGAAGAAGATTAAATTTTAAAAATATATATAGACATTTGCTATGTAAATGTACGAAAATCAGCAGAATTTATGATACGTTTGCTTAGAACGTGCAATCGTTCGCTTTATTCGGACGGATTACATATACATTTATGTATTTTTTATGCAACATTGTTGATCTGTGCCGATATTTAAAACAGAAATTCAAATATCATCGTTAATATGCATTATCTAGGAACCTGTTTGTGTCATTTTACATTGGAAACTAAAAAATATCATTGAGAAGCTTAACATTTCTATTTCCAGGCGTTATGAAATCTTATTTAATTAACTAGTAAACTTCGTGACATCTAGCATTACATTCGCCCTATTTTGTTATCAGCAATTCCAAGCCATGGCCTCGTTAATATGCATTGAATATTACGTGGGCAGAATTTCAATTCTCTGTGAGAATTATTAACAGTTGACCAGCACGCTTCTCGAACCTCAAATATACAAATCTAAACTTCCAATAACTGAATTGTAGCTATTGCTTTAATGAAATTTTCGATCTTATTCAAGGGTAATCGACCAAATTGAAGCGTCTATTTTTTAATTAAAAATTAAAATTTTTCTCAAAATAAATTGATCTTTAAGCATAAAACTTATTTAAACAACTAGTGATAATAATTTGGCAAGAGTTCTGAAAGAGTTTAATGGACGTAAGTCGCGCTATTGCGCGCGTGCCGGACATGCCTTAAGGCCCGTTTACACTAGTTGCAACGACATGCGCTTTGAGTCGTTTGCTGCAGTGCCTCACCGCGCACAACCGTTCACACTGCGTTTGTTAAAGCGATAGCTCGAGACCGCGCGCTTTGAACATTAGTTGCCACCTAGATGTCAATGAGGATGGATGTAACCGAATTTGAGCTGTGGGCCATTGTTCTCGGGTGTGCTGCGGTCCGCCATTCTTCTCACTATGTCAGTTGTAAACGAGAATTTAGCATAGGCATCATAATTAGAGAACTAGCACATTCAAAAAGATACAGTTTATAGAAATATAGTCTATTCTTAAATAAAAAGTTCCAATATTCGTACCGATATTATATCATCATTTGAAATCGCTAAACGGTAATGCATAAATTGTCAGGAGTTGCTTAAATCACATAAACTAAACACGTCATGTAAAAATAACTTGCATCATTTGCATTTCGATTTTTGTACTCCTTTGAACTAACAGTCCATAGGCATTCGTGTTCTCTATAAAGATCAATTAGGCGCTCTACTAGAGAGTGACTCCAAACGAGAGTGGTGTTTAGTCGACATTTGGTGTACCGGACCAACGTACACAATATACCTTACTAGACCACAGACAGCTATCTACTAACTAAGAATTTAAAAGCAAAGAATAGTCCACAAAAATTCATATCTTTATAGAAAACGTTTCGGAGACCAGCTCCATCGTCAGTTCGTGGAATCTAGAATCACAAATCAGAAGTCACAAATTAATACATTGAAACCATAGAACGAATTCAATTTCTTTAATTAATTAATTTAGGTTTTTAATTTTACTTAAACTTTTAATTTAATTTAAATTCTTAGTTAATTTGCGATTTAAGCATACAAGTGATATCAATTCTTTTACTTAATAGCTATCTACTAAGCGCCGCGCTTGTGTTGCATGAGGCATGGCCCCTGTCAATCGCTAGCTCGTCAATCGGTCAAGAAGCGCATGCAGAGGCTGCAAAGCGCCTCTGCATGCGCTTTGAGGCACTTGACTCTCGTGTGTTGCCCCTAGTGTAAACGGGCCTTTAGACGTTGGGACGGCGCACAGTCGCGAGGCGACCCGTGGACCATGAACCATTTGGGCGTCCCGACCGAACCGCCATTACTGCCTTGAGCTTTTTATTGATTCATTTGAAAATTTTGACATGGATGGATAATATCAACTATTATCCCCTACTTTCATAGGTAATGAAAACTGTTTTCCTCTTCCAACTGAATAAAATCTACGAATGTATATTGTTGCCTATGTAATAACTCTAAAATATGTTTTATGTGCAATCATACGTATTACGGGAAGTCCGCAGCACGTAGTTTCATTATCGTGTTGCAACGCCGTAACTTGGTTAGTCCTGATCTAATCCGTAATTTTCTCGTCTGACTTGTGCTGCCAACTTGCCGCACTTGACGCCCCAGAGCGGTAACTAAATCATTTGCCGCCGGGAAGTTTGCTCGATATTGCAACGAATCTACATTAGTTATTATTGATGTTTCCTACAGTTGGCCAAATCAAATTTGTTAATAAATTTTTTGTTTGTAATTACAGTATAAATTTGTGCCGGTGTGGACGAGGAATATCTTATCCATTGTCAGTTAGATATCCATTGCCATTGAATCTTGGTTGATGTGCTAGTAAGAAGAACAGCTAGTGATGCGACTAAGAAAAGAATGAAAA